CAAGTAATAAAAAATATAAAAACATAATGAACCAAGCTCTTCTACCTGTCTAATTTCTTGAGTAGTTTTCTACTGTAGCACTTAAATCAATACATCCTACACTACCTTTATCTCTGTGTCATCTTCAGACTCAAATTCAGACTCAAATTCACTTGCTGAATGTGTCTACGAGGATGACCTACCAAGGGTTCTGGATTTGTTTATCTGGACCAAGTCTCATCCTAGCAGCCTTTCTTGATGAGACCTCCCCATGTTATTCAGAGTATTCCTTCTCTCCCCTAATATCCTGCGGCCTGTACTTAATCTTTCTATGTAACACAATATATCATAGTCATCTGCTTTGCAACCATCACCTATAAGAAACTGTGAAATCAGTAGGGGCAGAGCCCCCAGTTCAGCAGGCTGTTGGTATCTGTTGAATAAATGTACAAATGAATGAATGAGTTGACTCTTGTTCGCAGGCCAGTTCTTAAGGTGCTCGAGATGAGCCTCAATTATCAGACAGTATCTCCTGTAAGATACTAAAATGACCTTCTCCTAAAAAATGTCTGGCTGTCTTGAAGAACCAAACAACTGAAAGGGAAACTGGAGAAAATGAGGAAAGGAAAGTGCTTCCTTTTCTTCACTATTGCGTCAATAATGAATCAAGAAGTGGTTTTGTAATTGAGACCGACAGCACGCAGCTTGTCTTCTCAGGGTGTTTACAAGAGACGAAATGCAAATCGAAAAATAAATTTTACTGCCCAAAGAATCTGAGAAGCAGAAATGAATTTTGCAACATATTCTTTATTGGGTACTCTGGAGGCTATATGAATTTTCCACGGAGTTTAGTTGATTCTTTTTTTTTTTTTTGAGTTTTCAGAGTTTAGTTATTTTTGCATGACATATTTACAAAATATATAATCAGAAATGGTTGAAGAGAGCCAGGCAGAGTGTCAGACACCTGTAATCTCCCCACTGGAGAGGCTGAGGCAGGAGGATCACAAGTTTGAGGCAGGCCAGTCTGGGTTACATAGTAAGACCCTGTAACAAGAGGAAAAATGGTAGAAAATACTGAAATATTTTAAATGAATAGCAATTTAGATAGTCAACAGCAACCTGTGCCATAAATAACCACCAAACATTACTTTCATTGGTCTGCAATAGATACCCACATATTTTTTTTTTTCTGCAAAGGGTCAGATGTAAAACATTTTAAGTTGTGTTAGTCAGATGTTCTCTGTCCCAGCTACTCAACACTGTCAAATTGTAAAAGGGCAGCTGAAGATAACAGGTTTGAAAGTGAATGTTATTATGTTCTAGCAAGACTGTATGATGCCTCTCCCTTGAAGAGTCCACACCACACTGGGTCTGACTTTCTTCTGAGTGTTCCATTTCTCCTAATCCTCATGCTTAAGCCTATATTAAATATCTTTAATAAAATATTCAATATCAAAGCTGAAGAGATCACTTAGCAGTTAAAAGCACTGGCTGCTCTTCCAAAGAGCCAGATTCAGACCTCAGCACCACACAGCAACTAACAACCACCAGTAACTCGAGTTCCAAGGGATCCAACACCATCTTCTGGCCTCTGCAGACACTGCACAACATACACACATTTACACACACGCAGGCAATACTCTCACATAAAAATAAATTTAAAAAAAATTTAAACAAAATAAAAATTAAAAAATAAAATAAAAATTTATTTACAAAATAGTTTTTATGCTGAATTTAGACTTCAAGTCAGAGTTTTCTGAGTCTTACTCTAAAGAAGAAATTCAACATGGTGGCACATACCTTTAATTCCTGTGCTCCAGAGGCAGAAGCAGATGGATCTCTGTGAGATTGAGGCTAGCCTGATCTACATAGTGAGTTCCAGGCCAGCTAGGACTACAGGGAGACCCTGTCTCAAAAAGACCAAAAAATAAAAGGGTTTCAATTATTTAATTCATTTCCAAATTATTCTATGTTAAGTTCTAGTTGAACTAAGCTAAACTTGACCAGGCTAACAACAATGGAGAAAAATTTAGCAATTAATTAAAACTTCATCTTTTGTGGGAAATATGTTTGACTAAATAATTTCCATTAAACTCAAAAGAATTTAATCAGCTTCAAAATGAGTTCTTATGTTAATTCTAACTAATCAAATATGGCCATACTCATTTGCCAGAAACTAGGGGGAAAGGCTTGTCTGCAGGCTTAAACACTTGAGTCTTCTAAGTAAACACCTGACTCATCAATATCCTCTGCCCATCTCTTTCCCTGGTGGTCATTGTTTCATGGTAAACGTGTTCCCATAGAAAGCACAGAAGTTCATTCACTGCATTATAAGTAAGATTGCCTTGATTGGATTTTCTAAATGTCTAAAGCTTAAATAGAGAAGAAGATCCAGGAGATATTTTCAGCAATTATTCTAGTCTCTCTGAACTCTTCTGCCCTGCATTGTGAGGGCATATGCTGTGGAAACCAGACAGATGGAGAGACCATCTACTGACCTTCTAAGAAGTACATTATAACTGGGCATAAATCAGGAACAGTAAATTGGTGAAGCGTCTGTCTGTTACAGAATTTCCATTCTCTAACCATGAAGCCCTCCAAGTCTGTGTGTGTGATGCATGCATGTGTGTACAGGTGTGTGCAACCAATGTTGGGTGTCTTTGTCACTATCCACCTTATTTTCTGAGATTTGTTCTCTCACTGAACTTGGAGCTCACCAATTGGTTAGACCAGCTGGCCAGCAAATCCCCAAGATCCATCTGTCTCTACCCCTCAGTTCTGAGGTTACAGGTATACACCATGACCCTTGGCTTTTTACATGTGTGCTAGGGATTCAAACTCAGGTCCTTATACTTATGAAACAAGTGAAACAAGTGAAACAAGCACTTTAACCACTGAGCAACCTCCACAGGCCCAAAGCCCTTCAACTCTTAAATAAGTTTTTCCTTTCTTTCTTTTTTAAGACAGGGCCTCACTGTAGCTCCGTCTGGCTTAAAGGTCACAGAAATCTACCTGCCTCTGCCTCCCAAGCATTGCAACTAAAGGCTTGTGCCACAACACTCAGATGGAAGTTTCTATTTTTAACAAATTTGAGAGGATATGTCACACTACATCACCACTAAAAATATTAAAAACATCAGGATACTATGCTAAGAGAGAAAGCCAATCAGTAGTCAAACCCAGCTAAAAAGCCCACTAAACATAACAATGACCAGTGCAGTGAATTATCTTGATTGGTGCAGTAGTGGCACTTTCATCTCAGGAATAATTGACAGCTACCTAATTGAACTTAAGGCCCACTTAATGGGAGGGAGCTCATGTGTGGTACGGTAAACATAGCCAAACACACATGACCCGAGTGGTCATAGATTCTAAAGAAAAACTTACATTTGTCACATCCCTAGACGAATGTAATTTTACTATATGTATGGATCCTTATATTTACAGACACATATGCCTCTCACAACTTATCAAAGAAGCTTCTTTTTGCAACAGATGGAGAACATTACAGAGTTCCACAACTGGTCAAACACAGAGAATATGCGTCTGTGAGGTGCCCAGTTCCAAGTGACACAGCTACAATGCATCCTCTACACCTAAGGCTCAGGGAACACAGCAGACAGATCAGGGGACAGAGAGAGTATTAATGCATCTCTCAACTCTCACCAGTGAAGTTTCCTCATGCATCAGAGGGTGATTAACACAAAAAGCCACAATAAGCCAAAATGTAGAGAGTAAGAGGCTGCAGAGTGCATGTTCCTTGGACAGGACTCCTATATTAAGCCTCTGCCACCCAGGGCTCAGGGACCATTGCAGAAGAGGGGGCAGAAAGATTGTAATTGCCAGAGGTGGTTGACCACAAGGAAACAGTTTTCCAGGTTTCTGGGAACTTCCTCATATGAACTTACAAAAATGGTGACAGCATGCATAAGACCCATGCAAACTCAAAACAGCAAAAACCCAGCCTAGAACTAGGTAAATGGACAAGAAGCCCCAACCTTAGATGAGGAGCTATTAGCAACTGATCACTACTGGGTGAGGGAGAGTTGGACTTCTTTAGGGGAGTGATGTTAGGTAGGTTGACCAGACTCCAGTGGATGGTCTCACACTGAGGGACATTTAGGGACACAAACTTGATGTGATCAATAGGCCTTAACATACATGACAGAATGCATGAAATCTGTCAGGGGACTATAAGGAGGATGCAGATAGGGGAGGGGTTCTAAATATGATCAAGATATATTGCATGAAACACACAAAAATTCAATTAAAGTTTTTAAATACATTTTTAATTTATTTCTATTTTATGTGTATAAGTGTTTTGCTACATGTATAAGTACACCCTTGTCCTGCAATGCCCATAGATGCCAGAAAAGGGCATTGGATCCCCTGGAACTGAAGTCACAGGTGGTTGTTAGCAGCCATGTCAGTGCTGGGAACTGAACCCAAGTCCTCTGAGAGAGCAGCCAGTGTTCTTAACCACTGAACCATCTTTCCAGCCCCTAAAAATTTTGGGGGGGTGGGGGCTGGAGAGATGGCTCAGCAGATAAGAACACTGGTTGCTCTTGCAGAAGACCCAGGTTCTAATCCCAGCACCCACAGGGCAGCTAAC